CCCGTGAACATCATCGGGAGAGCTGCTGAGAATATATACAACAGCTCTCCCGCGATATTTCTCACCTGATGACGATTGCTTGTGTTGCGATCGAAACGTAGTGATTTTTTTTTATTATTTGATCTATCTACGTGGCTTTACCGAAAGACCCAAAGAATATGAATTCCTGCAGTCACGAAAGCTTTAAGTCAAGATTTAATATGTATGAATAGTTTGAACTTATTTCGCATCGTAGGTAGCCAGCTGTGCTTATCGGACAACAAACTAAACACACAATAACATGTATAAGTTTAAAACCGGTTATGGGTGGTTGTGACAGAAATATATGCCTAAGAAGAAGTGTTTGGGGAGCTGGTTTCGCTGGATTATGAAACGGAGGAGAGGAAACTTTGTGGATTCTCTGAGTTTTCGCTACTCAAGGCTTGGCTTCCTTGCCAAAAAATGTCATTACATCATAGAGATGATTCCAATTAAAGAAAGAAAATAATTTCTGCAAGACTTATCTTCCATCTTATTAAATAAGCGTATCAACTTCAAATTTCATTTCCAGATTTACCAGTGTCTCTGATGCATATATTCATTACGTAATATCTTGGGCTTTTCCATGACATAAAAAGCACGTGTGGTTTTATGATTTATGCAGTTTTATTTCCCAGTTTGACAATGCTACCTCAACATTTACCGTCACGTCATTTCACGAGACATCTACACTCAAACTAGCATTCAAGTTAAAGTAAATGTGCGAGGTGAACTTGTATTTTAGCAGCTGCCAATCCATAATTTAATCTTTCTGCAGAAAATATTTCAATGTGAAAACGTTATGCACACAATTGCAGATAGTAGTTTTTTCTTCAAACATACAATGAGATCACGTTTTATTGACACCCAATACATCTATTCTGATTCCGCACTGTTTCAATAAAACGTGATCACATGGTTACGTTTGAATAAAAACGTACTTCCTGTAATTACAAGTAAATGTCCTTGCTGGTACTCAAGATGGATTACATATGCTCTTGGCAATGCACCATCCAAAATATGGAATTTTAGATGCAAGCGATTGGAACAAAAATGTTTCCTTCAGTAGTAGTTACAGAAAATTGCACTGCACGAGCATTCTGCTCTGATGCACATGCATGCATTTGGCTCTCAGAACAGTGACCCCCCCCCCCCCCTCTCTGGCTTACAATTCACCTGGGTCAGAGATGCAAAATATGCCCAGGAGATTTGCACCTATTTTTTTTTCTTTTGACAACCACGGGCCTGGAGATGTAATCGGAAGGCAGAATGGAGGTGGGGGGGGGATTGACCTGGCAAGGTGTGGGACGGGTACTGCAAGATCCAAACGTGTCCGTCCAGTGCTCACCCAGCTGAATTGGCTTTCAGTTGCCGAACGAATACATAAAACTGTCGCACTCATGAGACACAAAGTGCTTGCCACAAATCAACCACAATACCTTGCTGATCTCGCCAAAGACGTTCACCACATCAGGTGCTTTCAAATGCGCTTCTGTGGCCGTCTGGAACGCTCTTCCTTCAGATATTAGGAAGCTACTGCAGCTATGCACTTTAAATTTTAGATTTAAACTCATTTTTTTAAAACGGATTTTTGTGCTTAGTCCTTCCTCCGCACCTCCAATTATCACGGTTGGCTACGTTCGGTGCGGGAGAAGTTCAACGTACTTACAATTGATTATAGGCTCTGGCAAGTGACACTTCAGCACTAATTACAAGCAAGTGTCAGTTGAAGTCGAAAATGTAGTTCAGGAGCAAGCAAAATTAAAGCAAGCAACAGATTCAAATGTCTAGAAAGGCAAAACGATGTCATGAAAGGTGATGAGAGCGAGGCAAAAGGCGAACAAAGAATAAGTAATCTGATGCCACAAAAGACATGATGGGAAGGACAGATATGACAAGGGATGAAAATGGCAAAAGAATAAACACAACTCTGTCAAACAATAGGAGGAGAGGGATATCATTAAAAAAGAGTTAAATCACAATGCACAAAAGATTGAAGATGTCATCACCACGGTCACGTGGTGTAGGGCAACAGTTGCAGACGCACAACGGGTCCTGTTGTGATGGCCACGAAACAAATCGGCCACACATTCAGTTCTTTTGAGCTGCTGGTCTGGATAAGGCCGAGGGCTTTTTAACACGCCGTGGTGGCGAGATGTTAACTACCTTGCCTGATATGCAGGAGGTGGTGGATTTGATTCCGACCCTGGCGACGCCTGTATATTTGGAGTTTGCATGTTTCCCCCATGGTCGCATGGATTTTTCTCCGGCTCCTGAATCTTAAACTGAACTTTTTATTTTATTTTACCAGGTAAGGTTCACTGAGCCACATAGCTATTTTTTCAGAAGCGAACTTGGCGTGTTTAATATTGGTATTTATTTTGTGGTTTGTGCTAAATGTGGGGGGGGGGGGGTGTCTCCCTCCCCATTACTCGAGAATTTGAGACACACCGGGCAGCAAAGGGGAAAAATAAATGTGCGAATTAAAAGAATACAGAAGTGCTGGAGAAAAGGGTAGCGTTGGGCAAGGTGGCAGTGGCTGGATTATGGCAATGCAGAAAGAGAGAGAGAGAGAGCGTTTGGCATCGCAGCGGCCCAGATGCTGACAGTTCAGTGGAAAGGTGAGCGTCTTGGAAGTTCATAATAAACTGGGGTGAGAAACCATCGTGGACATCGAACACGAGGTGGAGGTTGAAGGATGGGGGGTGAGGGGGGGGGGCATGTATGCAAGACGGAGGATGGCAGGTTACACAGGCAACCTACTGAGTGAGAAAGAGCTCTCAGTGAGGCTAGGGACTATGGGGGAAGGCCGTGAGTCCGGAAGACGTTGCATGTCGGGCTGTTTTAACCGTCCAACATCTTTGGGATCCGGCAGAAGGAAGTAACGGCGAAGAGCGGTGGTGGCGATGGTTGGCCCGATGACCTCGTGACCGCATGTAGTCCCTCCGATGTAGATGTTTGCTCAGCATTTCAGATGCAAGAAAACGGCACGTAAAATTAAAAACAGGCCGCAATCTTTGACATGTGCTGCTACTTAGCATTCTTAAGAGTCTCTGGATTCTTGCGATTTTTTACGGAGGAGGCTATGACTCTTGACAGAAAACTAGAACCTCCTTCCAATTGTAAAAATAAAACAACAAAAACGGCACCGGATTTGTGTTCTGCCCCACGATTGGAAAGAATCCGATGAGCAATGAGCCCAAATTGTTCACACTCAACGGACTGAGCCAACATTGAATTCTGTGTTGAAATCCAAACGGTCAAATTTCAAATTTATTTTTAATTTAATTCAGATAATTTTAGTTCTGACGGCTAAACATGCAATGAGCAATCTCACTGCAGGCCGTTCAGGGTGTGCCGTTCGGTATAGGATCGGACACATACTTGAAAGCGACTCGACACAGCTTCTGGGACCTAACTAAACGACTAAACGATTTTTTATTTTACCAGGTAAGACCCACTGAGCTACCTAGGTTCTTTTCAGAAGCGACTTGGCCACACATTATAGCTCAACGAAGTGGCTGATCGTGTGGAAATGCATAGCAGCCAAATAATCTAAACGCACGTTGATTCCAGATGTGGAGGGAAAAACCGGAGGACCCGGAGAAAAATCCACGCAACCATGGGGAGAACACGCAAACTCTAAATATACAGGCGACCTCCTGTATACCAGGCGAGGTAGTTAACATCTCGACACCGTGTCCCCTGGACCTTATCCAAGGGTCGTTCCTTTGTGTGATGCAATAGTGCTCAGAGGTTTCTCTTCTTGGCACGATGCCGACAACAAAATGGGAAAAGATGGTTACTTTGTTTAAATACAGCCCTCTCCACACCGAGTCTCCAGTAAAATCAGAGAACAGATTTAAATCGTAATGATGTCATTTGCGTAACACATAAGAGGCCATAATTGCTCTTTTTGGGTCTGGCCACGAAATTATCCGACCAAATTTTTGACAGATTCTGAGACGCAGATTCTGTTGCTTGTCCAACCCAACCGTATATAAATATATAAATAAGTACACCACAGTGGGTCGACTGGCACCCCACCTCAGCATTAGCCCAGCGATTTGAGGACACTGCAGAGCTATGCTGCAGTTGAGATCCAGATTGGAGGCAGATCTAAAAAAAAAACGGAGAGGGTGAGGGGGATGAGGGAGTGCGGTGGAATTTAATTGATCATCTTGTTTATTTTAAAGTGCATTTTTTTAAAACACATTATAGTGAGCAAGTGTGGTGACCTGCCAACTTAAATCCAGCTGTCTCATGGAAAAGAGCTAGCAAACCACAACGTGCTCCTTGCATAGCCGCTAACCCACACCAGCCTTGCTACTGTCTGAAGCAAACCAAAAATAACATTATCTTGGGAGTCTCTATGAAAGTTGCTTGCGGTTTTGAGCATTCGAGAGCCTATTCCAAGTGCTTCGTTCACCGGAAACGTCTGTCCACGATGGTGGAAGTTCCACATTTTGGTGGCGGGGGGGGGGGGCAGTCTCTTCGCAGAATGACAGAGTTTTAGTCATCCCACGCAGAATGAGGAGTTTGTCCTCAATCAAGGTTTTTGGGTTTGCAGAAATTTCAGATTGCGAGTTTGAAAGCTCCAGCGACAGTGGCTCCTGACCGGGTCTTATTTGACAGTTGTGTTTCGTTTACATCATAGAGCGTTGGACATTTGGTGACGACATCGTGTTGAAGAAGAGCAAAAGTTTAGAATATGATGTCAATTTGACATCCAGACAAGAGATTTGGGAGATGTGGAGTAACTCACGGCGATATTTTCGCTGAATGAGCAACGGTGGTATCGCTGACTTGACGCTGAAGTTGTTAACCACATTTGCGCCGCTGGTGTGCACCTTAAATTCCACGTGACGTTCAACTTTCGGGTGCTTTAAAGCCTTTGCCGCAACACGCTGTGTAATTTTTTGTGCAATCGCTTTGTTTTTGCTTCTACTTCTTTAAAGAGAGCACCTGTTTATCTCCAACAGAATGCAAAGTGGACCACTGCAGCAGCTGCTTCGCCAGAAGTTTTTGTACAAAATGTACATCTGGATATTATTTGCACCTGGGAAAATGTTCAAGCACCTGCCCAGAAGGTTTCGCTGTGGACAGCCAAAGCATGGAATGCATAAATGTCGGTACGTCTCCATGCCACCAGCATTGGCAGCACCCCCCCCACCCCCCCTCGGTGACAGGCTGCGGGAATGTTTCGGGCAACGAGCATGACAAACTTTAGCGCCGCGGCCATCACGCTTAATGACTCGCACGCTTGTGACCTCAGAATGGAGCAACGCAGCACGATGTGTCGCCGTGTACAGGAGCATATTTATTAGTCTTTGGGATTAATCCCCTTCGTATCGCGGAGGCCAAATTTCGTGCGGATAACAAGGCCTTGCAGCGGTCGGTATTTGGCTCTCACCTTGCGCTGATGATTTACACCTGCCCTCGTCGTACTGCCCGTGCAGTCCTCCCCCCGGGCGCCATCCCTCATTTTAAAACCATGTCAGTCGAAACTGTGAAATGTACTCATTTGAAGTTGCTAGCAGCCGTAATTTGACGAGCAACTGTGGGCGATTTGCGTACAACGCGCTTTGGTGTCGCTTACAAGGGTTGAGCCCGCTGTGTTCGTTTAGGGCACGGTTGGCTACGTACGTCGTGAAAGAGGTTCAACATGCGTACATATAGAGTCAACTTTTTATTGCTTGCGATGAATTGGCAAAGCCGTGAGCTGTGATCGCATTGCGACAAGCCATTTTGAGCCTTCTCGACTCAAGTGAGTGAAACGTGGCACGGCAGAGCGATCTACGTGTGTGTACAGTATACATTTCACATCTGCACAGACCCACGAAACAATTTTCAGTGAGGCAAAAAATCAAATCCACTTTTGAAATGTAACCCTAATTTTAGGGTTCAATACAGTGTCAACTGAAAGGTCAAATCATCGTTTTCAACACATGTTCAAAACATTTGGATTGAGAGGTTTTTGGAATTGCCGAGTAGATTTTTTTTGGGACATTTTCTCAAAAGATCAAATACTAAATGTGAGCACAATCTTTACAGAAACAGGTTTTTTTGGAGCAACAGCCTCCCCAAACGATTGCGTGCTTAAATATTTGCCTCATCAACAGGATCAAACATGTTGATCCCAAAGGTCCTTCACTAAATCACAGCAGGCACACTCGGTATGAAGGGGCACATTTTTGGGTCACCAAATAATTGGGTCAAAGGTCAGTGCAACGATGTAACTTTCCCTCATGTATCGCAATATAGGCTTCTCGTCACTTTATAATTGTACTTCACATTATATTGTATTATTTCTGTATTTTGACGTATGTCGAAATTTTATGAAGATTACTTCAAAGTTCTTCAACTACAGTTCACTCAATATAAGACTGCCTTAAGTTATTACAATGTATATTTAAAATTAAATGATTAAAATGTAATCACAATAATGACGTCATATAATCGCCACACAATTAATTACGCCAGAAAATATTTCGCAAAGAACACATTTCATAGATGATGGCTATTTATCACGACTTCAATTGTAGAGCAACGAAAAAAATAATAAAATTAAATCGGCAACAACAACAACATTCGTGAGATGATGATAATTCGTGAAAGCGACGACGAGATTGTCGTTGATCTCGCACTGTACAACATGGCCGTGGCAGCGACAGCTGTCATCAGGAGGGTTCAAATTCTGGTCAAGGGGTCAACTCAGTTTTCTCTCAAGTACGTATGTTGAACTTCTTTCGCACCCTACATAACCAATCGCGCTAAAATCGGACGTACGGGGGGGGGGGGGGGTGAGGGGGTGAGAAGGACAACAAACTGAACACAACAAGCAGTTCTAAAGAAATTATTTCAAAGTGCATAGCTTCCCAGTGGCTTCCCAATGTCGGAAGGGAGAGCGTTCCAGACGGCCGCAGAAGCACATCTGAAAACGCCCGCTGCGGCGACCGTCTTTGTTCGATGGTGAGCCAGGCTCAGTTGTGAACACTGATTGCGTGCGGTCCCTCACGCAATGGAGGGATGGCCACCACTGGCTTAGGCGCTGCCACCAACACAGCAGGCGAGTGCTGCCACGAAGTTCAATCGAGCAGTCTATTAAACTATTTGAACTATTTTTTATATTTTACTAGATAAGATCCTCAGAGATATATGGATTTTTTTCAGAAGCGATCTGGCCACAAATTAAATCTTAACAAAGTGGATTATCACGTGGAAATGTATTGCAGTCAAATACTCCAAAAGCATGTTTCTAAATGTAGAGGGAAAAACCGGAGGACCCGGAGAAAAATCCACGCGACCAAGGGGAGAATACGCATACTCCAGAGATACAACAAACGTTAGGGTCGGGATCGAACCCACGACCTCCTGTATACCAGTTGAGGTAGTTAACATCGAACCAACGCGGCACCCACTCGTCATTTAGAGATGAACAATTAAAGTCAGAACAGATCCCATCATCAGTAGTTGAAGCACACCAAGCAACAGCGTAGGGCCTAACCTATCCGGGTTTGACCTGAACAGGTGGCAACAGGGCTTGACCCGGGCAGTCCAGGAAGTGGCATCTGTGTTTTGAGTGACAGGAACAATCCCGGCCGCCGTAATGTTCAGGTTTACGGCCGACTGCCCGGCTCTGATGGACCTCGGCCAATGGAGAAACGTGTCCCAGTTTGGCCTGAAGCTCTTTTCACAGATGTCCAGTAGGAGCAGGTCAGAACGTTACGACAACAAACAATCCAAAAACACAATAGGAGTGCAGAGTTTTGTAAAGGTAAGCAAATCACGAAAAAATATATACAAATAATACTAAACATGTACGCCATCGGAACTAACCCGAAATAAAAACTATACTGGTACCGAGGCTCCCACAAGGACATGCTGGAAGGCGTGTGGCACAGTTGGGCACCAGCCATCATTAGAGTGCGATCGTGTCGCTACAGTTCTCTGCGGTGAGCAACGACGTCTTTAAAAACGACGGCGCTACTACGCCTCAATGAAATTAACGCCGCACCCGTGTTGCCGACAGTCGAGTGTGAGGTGGGGCCCTGGAGTGAGTGGGGGCCCTGCACGAAGAACGGCAAGCCGTGCGGCGGCAAGCGGGGCACCCACCACCGCGAGCGGACCATCGCACGGGAGCCCTCCCTCCACGGCCGCCCGTGCCCGGCCGTGCGGGAGAGCAAGCGCTGCAGGCTCCAGCGCCGCCAGTGCGCAAAGAAGGAGGGGGCCGCCTCGGGTGAGTTCACCGCGCCAGGCACCGTACGGGAGCGCCACGTGTCCCCAGCGCAGCGGAGGATACATAAAGGGGGCTCCTCTGTCCGGTAACTCCCTGGGGGTCCAAGGGAGCTCGGCGTTCGTGAAAAACGTTTTGGGCCGGCCCTCGTATCGTCTGGTTTCACGAGGGTTATTAAAAAACAGAATTCACAACGGGCACTTCATTTGGATCGCCCATTGTACGGCGTGTGCATGAGAATGGCACGAGGCACAAAAAAAGTTTGATTGATTTGACCTGCCCAGGCCACTGCTGGTAAAATGACCTCCAACAGAGGGAGCCTCCAGAGAGGCCCTCCAAAGGGTACTTTCGCCTACGCCTCCACGTCGGCCAGACGATTTGGGAGGTGGAAGTTTCCACACTTTACCCCACCGAATGCAACCTGCCGATCAACTGTGGCGTGGTCATTTATAGAGGGTGCCGCGGTGGGGAGATGTTAACTGCCTCAACAAGTATACAGGAGGTCGTGGGTTCGATCCCCGTCCTGACTATGCCTATATATTTGGAGTTTATGTCTTTCTCCCCATGGTCACGTAGATTTTTCTCCGGGTCTGTCCAGTTTTTTCCTCCACAATATGAATCACCATGCTTTTAGAGTAATTGCTCTAATTAAGACCCAGAGCAGGTGGGTCTCTTCACAGTTCTGGCAAAATCCTGATGATGCTGGTTGATGTCACAGCACTCAAATAGAAAATGTTGTGGTATTACTCTCCCAACACACTGGTGGGCTGAAGTAGTAACGAATTGGCACGTTTTGTTTAAGAAACAAACCTTACTGGTTGGCCCTGTTGGGTGGTGGTGAGTTACGCCACATTTATACTTAAGCGATCTAACCCAAAAAAAACTGTATTACGAATGTATATCTAACTACGGACTACGTGTGCTGTTGTCCTGTGTTAAAGAAACGGCTTCAGAAAAACCCCAAGAAAGGAAAGAGGTAGGCCACAAAGGACGGGGGAAGAAAAAAAATGGACAGCGTAAAAAAAACAGGAAGGCGGTAACTGCAAGACCGCCTGCCACAAGCAAGGAGACCTAAGACGCCTCCTGGAGTCCAGCTGCAACAAAGCCAAGATTCCAAAACCGTTGCAGATCCACCAAGAAGTCAAGAGAGATCTGCGCCTTTGTATTTATAACTGACGTTGTAATCATCGCGAACGATGCACACCAGAAACTTTGACGGTAATTGAATCGAACTCCTACAAGGTTACCTTCAACATCAACCCTCGCCAACTTGTCGGCATTACATTCCGTAAAAAAAGTTAATGTTTGACAAAGATACGAAATCTATTACTCTTTTTGTTGTTGTTGCCAGCTTCGTCATCGCAAGCCACGACTGTCATGCAACAGCCAATAGTCTTGACAGGGTCCACTGATGTATGGGTCACATTTGCCACAATCGCTTGGGTGCGAATTCCTGAACAATGGCGAAATCACCGGCAACGTAAACAACAGAGTCGGCAGAGCGCGAGATGCCGACCACGCGAGACCGTGGCCAAGAAATGGACCGGCGCCGCATGTCGATCAGCGCACTTTTTTGTATCCTTCCGACGAGGACGGTGCGAGCTTTGTGAGTGGCGGCGCCGCGTGGACATCTGAGGGACGATCGCGAGCGCCGGCAAGAGGACAACGCGTGAAGCGATTCTACGGGCGGAGGGACGAGCAGAAAGAGGAGTGCCATCCCTGTTCATTTTGACGTTTCGCATTTTAATGTTAAAAAAAACCTAGTTTTTACTTTGCCACGGAAAAAAAACTGCCGTTATTTAAACAGCCTGAAGCATTAGTCACTGCTTCCTTCATAGTAATATAATAATAATTTACAGTCAGTTGTGTCAATCCACTGCTGGATAAAAGCCTCCCCGTGCCACGCATGTCATGGCGGCTGCTTGATCATGCTTCACCACGCTTGTCAGTGCCGGGGTTGGCGAAGGCTCTTTCACGGCCGTGTTACTGGCAGAACAACGTGGTGGGTTTCTGTTGGGCAGTGCTTGTACACCGGCCTCTTAATAGCTGTGCTCAAAAGTGCTCTCCATTGCATTCGTTTTAACAAAACACACTCCACCAACTGCCAAGTGCTGATGGACGTCACAATGGTGGACACACGTTGGGGCGTGTTGCAGCAGCTGACCACATCCTGGCAGTTTCCTCTTCTCCCCCCCCCCTCTCCTGGGATGGTATTGCAACGTGGCTGCGTAGGTGATCCGTTTGAGCGTTCCTCCAGAAAACTGGACGTGGCATCCTTGGGTGTCACCCGCGTCGGCTGCGCTGGTGTCCATATCGAGTCCAAAGGGTGCCGTGGTGGCGAGATGTTAACTACCTCGCCTGGTATGCGGGAGCTCGTGGGTTCGATCCTGACCCTGACGTATATTTGGAGTTTGCATGTCTCTCTCCTCGTGGTCGTGTGGATTTTTCTCCGGGTCCTCAACATTTAGAATCAACATCACGCGTTTCGAGTATTTGGCTGCTATAAATGTCCACACTGATGATAAGCCACTTCATTGAGCTATCATTTGTGATAGCCAGGTCTCTTCTGAAAAATAGTTATATAGCTCAGTGGGCCTTACCTTCAGCTTAGTTTTCAGTTTCAGACGACATGCAGCCAAGCCAGGCCAAGTTGACCCCTTTTCCCCACTGGCATATTCGAGCAGAGCCAGCACGTGACCCCCACGGCACAGGTGGTTACTTACCGGCTTGTTATCGAGCAGAGCCAGCAGAATCAAACCATGAAACTCGAAACCTTTGCAAGACTCCAAAGAATGGATCCGGGCCAAGCAGGATCAGGGGGCGGGGCTAATTACACATTCAAATCGCTGATGACGTCAACGCACGGCTCGGCTTCTGCGGTGCAAAACAAACCGGCGCCTCCCGAGCCGCGCCAGGCTGGCTGGGCCCCAGGGTGGCTCGGTTGTACAGTGGAGAACACGAGGTAGTTGTGTCCCCACGAACCCTGTGGCCCTCATCCAGCTCTCCCACTTCCTGTACTCCTCGCTCCCCACTACACCACTTCCCCACGGCTCGCGTTGTCAGGATATATATTTGTTTTAACTATTAATCATTGTTATTTTAACAGGTAAGGCGCCCTGAGTTATGTAGCTCTTTTTTAGAAGCGACCTGGCCACGTAGGATAGCTCAACAACGTGGCTTTATCGCGTGGAATTGTATGTTTCCAAACGTGGACGGAAAAACCGGAGGACCAAGAGAAAAATCCACGCTACCAACGGGGAGAACACGCAAACTCCAAATATACAGGCGTCAGGGTCCGATTTGAACCCACGACCTCCTGTATACTAGGCGAGGGAGATCTTGCCACTGCGGCGCGACACGTTTCTCTTCCACCCCCCAAATTAATTCTAGCTGTGCCATCGACGTCGTGTTAGGAGACATCTGGCACTCTTGCAGGGGGGCAGTGGATGACTCCATGTTGGACACACGCCCACTGAAGGAGATAGTATCACGGAACTGCTCTGAAATCTGAAGGGACCTCCACTGCACACTTGGGTGGACTTTGACCCACCCTGATACCGAGAAAAGTTTGCATTACGCGACGGTCAGACCAACATTTCATTTCGCGCAGACCCAAATTTAATTACGTGCATTTTTGCGCTGCCAATGGCGACTGGATTTCGACCATCAACTCACAAGTTGATTTTAATCGTGGGCAGCCGCCCAGACTTAAACCCAGGATCTCAACAGTGCCAGCTCAGCGCTCTGACCTCCACCCAGCCACCTGGTCAAGAAGCGATCTAACAAACAAATAAAAACACGTGTTAGACAAAATGTAACAGTTATATGTTCACCATCATCATCAGCAGCCATGGTATATCCATTGCTGGATGAAGTTCTCTGAGATAACCACCATATCTTAAGGTCCTGCAATGCAACAATCCATCTGGCTCAGGGGTCGGCGACCAAAATAACAAGAAGAGCCAATTTTTTCGAACGCGCTAAAAACTCCAATATTTCAAGAGCCGCACTGCGCGTGGTGAATACGGTGGTCCTTCATTAATAACATCATGAAGCAGTGCTCAAAGAGCCCCATGCGGCTCCGGAGCCGCACGTTGCTAACCCCTGATATAGCCGATTCCATCACTCCATCTCCATGGCGGACGTGCTATCCGGCATGTTCCCTCCTTTTCCTGCCACTTCGATCGTTAAAGTCCCTGACCACGAGCCGTCATCGAGTTCAAGCAACATGCCCTGCTCAATCCGACGTCCCTTCACGGTCCAAAGGAAGTCCCTAGCTTGTGTACGGTCTCAACTGCGGCTCGTCGTACGGAGATCCAGTGCAACACCCTCCGTTACAGATGGCAGCAACTCACATGCCACATGCTTCTCAGTTGTAATGCTCACTGTGCCTTATGAACTCAACCCCATGTTAAGACGCACGTGTTACCGGATGGGCAGCAGGTTCATATACCCTCGTTTTAAAAGCTGTTATTATGCTTTGCGAACTTCCCATCCAGCGTTAAATAACATAATGCAATGCTCGGTACATGCTGTCCTCGTTAATACCATACAGATTGTTCATACTTGCTTGTTAAGATTCACACAATGCTTGAGCCGCTTAATTCCACGAATATGTACAGTCTGGGGAATATACACACTTGGCACAAGATTGCAGATGGTATTGCAAAGAGTGCAGCAGCAATATTTGAGCGCATCAAACATTCCTTGGCATGGCCTTAGGTGAGAGCCCGTGAAAGATGAAGATGTAATCTATCATCTGCGAGACAGGCCGGGATAAAATTAATAATCGAGGATTATACCAACAAAATGCTCGTGAGCGTATGTGTTCTAAGGACACATTAAAACCTGTACTGTACCGCATTATTGTAGGTTTCTGAGCAGGGCACAGCTGGGGAGGAGGGTAAATTAGATAGAGTTTGCCGTGTTCGTTTCATTTTAACGGCTAAACCCTTAAATGCTACACCGCACTGCACAATTACCATTTTACACACGCCTATGGGTCGAATTTTAGAATAAGACTTACATTGTACTGCGTGTAAATTGCTTGATTTGATAGATGACAACCATTAATTGTATTATCCAGCAATGGAAATAGATTGCAGTTGTATCTGTACACCGTGTAACTGTATGCTCAGTAGTATCAAAGACAGAGTAAGATCGAGTCTGCGGCCTTTTACAATCATCGTAATAAATGTTGTTTTTTGGGTTTGATCGGGTAAATATAAACGTGTCGTTAAGCCACCGCCACCCGACAGCCAATTAGTAAGGTTTGTCACGAAAACAAAACATGCCAATTAGTTACTATTTCAGTGTTGGAGGGTAAACCCACCACATTTATAATTTGAGTTTCAACGTTCTGCTGGTAATTACAACCAGCTTCATCGGGCGATTTTGCCTTTATCATGAATAATATTGGCCGTGAAAACCTACGTTTTAACATCAGTGAACTTCACATCTGACTTGCACCGATGCTTCTGTAATTAGCGCAAAGGAACAGACAGAATCTTGGTTGTTCAAGGATCTGAAGGGAAAACAATGGAATTAGGGTCCCAGCAAAGTACAAGTCCCATAGATGATTAAACTTGAGTTTTGTGAACTCGTGAAATGAACTTTGTTAAGTGGCACCTGTCATGCACGCTGTACTGGCTGCAGAAGCGAGAATGAAGCATGAACGGTCCACTCACTTACAATCTAGGCGCGAAACCCATCTCTGCTCGCGGAAGATTAATATGGTTTATGTGCTTCAACAATAAAAGCCGTTTGTTTTTGTCCCAAAAATTCCCTCGAGAAACGCGTACCCGTATATTTCATGGTGTTAAAATGCAGCTGGCAATTACAGTTTAATCTTGCGGTATTTGGTGGGGTTGCTTAATTACTACATTTTCACAACACTACTTTTCATATTTAAAATAATATTTCAGCGCCTCAAACATGCATTGGCTCGGAATCAGGCGAGAAGCAATGGAGATAAAAAAAATTTAACAATTCTTCTGTGAGTAAAGCCAGGGTGTTAATAAACCAGAGATTGTATATCAGCTGTACATGCTTGTGGAGCGTTTGTGTTCTAAGGACATATTGTACCTTACTCAATGATGACATACCATGTTACTGAACAGTGCTTCGTGGCGGGTAAATGAGAGGATTCCGTTCCGTGTAATTAGTACGGTATGACCACAGCAGGCGTAACTAAAACAGTGAAACTTGGATTATCTGGGGAAGGATTCTACGGATTATTTTTCCGGAGTTACCAGGAAGTGTTCGTCATAGGTGCTACATTTACATTTTTGGGGGGATGATTGTGGATAAGAGGCAGTATTTTTGTGTCGAATTGGGTAATTCCTCCAATCCACAACTGTGGTCATCTGCTAACCACAGCTCCCACATCAACGTAGATAAGTTTCACTGAAGACAAAATCAAAATAATGAGTTGTGTTCTATAGGCGGATCATAAAGGCATCAGCTAAAATGGCAGAATATTAAGAACTTTAGTCATTATTTTTCACATGGATGTACAAAAGAGTTTATTTTAATACTGCAAGTCACATAGATGTTTAAGAAAGACATTTTAATTTTGAATGCTACATTCTGACAGAGCCCTCTGTATTCAAATGTGCTAAATGCTCTTGACCTCGCAATTTTGTATTAAAAAAAACCCTCCACCTTATCTTCCAGATTCATTGTGGTTATGGAATAAAAAAATGGTTAAAACAACTTGCACAATTAGACATTTTACTAAAGGTAAAATGAGCTCATCATCCTACAGCGATAGATAAAATTCATATTACTTTGTGAAGTCAAGGGGCGGGCTGGAGAACATGGCCGAGTGGTAAAAAATGTCACTCGTTGCGTTCGAGCCTGGTGACCACCTTGGTTAATACTGGCGGGTGTTTTAACCATTAATACGAGCCATCTGCTTCACAGACTGGACGTTAAAGATCACGTGACATAAAAAGAGCAGGCCATGTGTGCCAATATCATGGTGCAAATGTGATACATTATTTAATTGGGAGAGAAGAAATAAATACGGAGCAACGTTGTTTCCTATTGGACAACCAATGCATATTTGCAGGCCGATGCTGCGCTCATCCTGTCTGCATAGGCACAACTGCCACTGGGGGTCCCCTTGGCTAAACTGCAACAGTGCATTGGAGTAGTTGAGATAAGATCTGGCGCAAGGTGCTTTGAGTTTCCAAGGCATACAAGCCCAGGTAATCCTCGTGTGATATGAGACTTTGACCGGCTCAGAACCACGAAAGCTGATTGAACAAAAAACATGTTCATTCGAGCTATATTTTTCTAAATAGATAGACATACAATGACACCTTCATATATGTCTCTCCACATAAAAACTACCAGTATTTTTTCACAAACCCATAGGCCCCACAGCCTTCTGGGAGTGTGCAATTTCGGCAGCAGTGTCTCATCAGCAGCAGTCAGGCTCGTATAAATGCTGAACTGCCAGATGTTATGGAAAGCACCACCTCTTTAAGATAAGTCCTAATTTGATGCAAAATGATAGCAATATACAACTCTAAATAATAACTTGTGCATTTGTGATGAATCACACTTTAAAAAATATGCTGTTAAAAATAATGCCTCGAGTTTCCTGGCTGGCTGCTGGCTGGGCTCCTCTCCTCCCCAACAACAATTCTGTTGTGAGTGGCTGATGAGGGCCGTTGCCACCGAAACTAGCTGGGTGACTGGCTAAACGGTGTTTCCCGTGTAACAAATAAACGTTGAGTTGAAACGGTGCAACAAGACATTTAATATGTAACGACACCGAAGCGGTGGGAGTATCGAATACAGAAGAACGAGTGTTCGTTTAAAATTGCTCAACATTTTAAATTTGTATTCATGGAATGGAATTCTTTCACCAGCATATTCTTTAAATTCTGGAAAATAAAAATAAACTAATAATATATATACATCTTGGCATTGTATTACGTAAAAAATATGTTTTAGTGCTCCGAATACAGGATTGTGAGAAGAGCATGACCATCGACAGCTGTCTCTTATTTTCTGTTGAAGAGCAACGGGTTCAAACGCTCGCGGAAATCACAAAAAATCTAAATCAATATTTAGCTGCACTGCCCTCTGCTGCCCATGGCACGCAAATTTGTGAAGGTTGAAATGTTTCTCCTGACGTCTCTTTCCATGTTTGCACTGCCCCCTTTTCAATGCGCGTGTTTAAGATCTAAACTAAAACACGGGGCTTACTTGCACCCGCACCTAACTTTTATATGGCGCCTTTTGCTCTCACATTTGAATTGTTTTTGATCCGCGTGTGTTTTTGTTTGCGACTCTTACACACTCATTGGTTCTTTTGGTAAAGTCACGTAGGTGAAAATGAATAAGAATAAAAATAAGGAATAAAATAGAAACAACTAACTTAAATCACGACGTTTCGGAAGCAACACAAGCTTGGCGCGGATTCGCTTTTCGTAAGACGCGAAAGAAGCGAAAACTTCACCGCGAACACAAAAGGCCGTGACGTCACTGAGCACCGTCAGTGGTGACGTCACGGCGGCGCAGGGTGACGTCACCGGGGTGACCCCGGCAGCAGCAGCAGCAGGAGGCGGAGGCGGAGATGGAGGCGCCGGGGAAGGTGAGAGAGGGGATGAGGCGGAGCGAGCTCGCGTGTTTACTGTTTGGTGGTGGTGATGGTGGTGGTGATGGTGGTGAAGGTGGTGGTGATAATGGTGGTGGTGGTGATGATGGTGATGTTGGTGATGTTTGGTGGTGGTGATGTTGGTGGTGGTGATGTTGGTGGTGATGGTGGTGATGATGGTGATAATGGTGATGTTGGTGGTGATGGTGGTGATGATGGTGATAATGGTGATGTTGGTGGTGGTGATGGTAGTGATGGTGATGTTGGTGGTGGTGATGGTGGTGGTGATGTTGTTGGTGGTGATGGTGATAGTGATGTTGGTGATGATGGTGATGTTGGTGGTGGTGGTGATGTTGGTGGTGATGTTGTTGGTGATAGTGATGTTGGTGATGGTGGTGATGTTGTTGGTGATAGTGATGTTGTTGGTGATAGTGATGATGATGGTGATGTTGGTGATGATAGTGATGTTGGTGATGATAGTGATGTTGGTGATGTTGGTGATGTTGGTGATGGTGGTTCGCGCGCCGCGCTTCGAACCAGGCGAATCGCTCTGCCGCGACCATTATCATGTGAACCTCTGACGTCGACTCATCCTCACACGAGCACTGTACCCCCGGGGTGCGGTGTGAACAGTGTCGTAAACAGTCGCCACTGGGGAGACAAAGGCGGCCGGGCGTGGTGCTGGCCACCCCGTGCCGGCCTTCGTAGGTTGCGACTCGCCCCCCACGGTTCTCTTAAGAGCCCCCCACAGTTCTCTCAATGTGCGACACGGGGGCAGGGATCGTTGTCTTTGATGGTTTATGGCTGGAGTTGAAAAGGGAATGGGTTACGACCAGGGCCGCCCTATCACCGCAACTGTACACACGGCGGTGTAGCGCCGAAAGCCATTATAGTAACGTCAAAACAACGTTAGTGTGAGTACTCTGTACACACACAACTCACAGACACTCATTACCTGTGAACCCCTTATCAGTGCCCTACCTTATTGCAGACCAATTCAGACTTATTGGTCACCCCGTTGCCCTTTGTAGATCTCAACGTTCATCCTGCACAGTCCCATCGCAAGGGAGAAACACAAACAAATAGACACAGTTGTTGTTGCCTCTATTGAAACGCCGTATGGACTTTATAAAACTCTATTTCCCTGTACAATAATTCGGTGGGGTTAACCCGTGTGGGTTAACAGGTATTAACAGTACACCGTGTGAAGTATTTGTGTTACCGTCAAACACAAATCATGATGTACATACACACCACAGTTCATTATAACCACACACAACCGTTTAACAACAGCAAATGATAATTGTTTTTTTTACCCTTCTATCTGGCAACAAAACTGACATATCTGGCAACAAAACTGACACCTTTTCTACAAGGAGTCATGTTTACATAAACCACAATACCTGCAGTCATAATGCAAACAAAAAACATAACTCTGATAACGTGCACTGTCCTTGAAGTTGATTGGTCCACACCCGAGACAGCTTTCCTTAGAGCCTACTCTCACATGGGTTGGACCAACCCATGACTCCTTGTAAAAAAGGTGTCAGTTTTGTTGCCAGATAGAAGGGTAAAAAAACAATTATATTTTTACTGGCAAATGAGGTTCCAATGGTGAACAGCAAATGGGTTATTATGACGCTAAATTATACATTACCTATAGTTTATTATAACCACTGCTTTGTGCAACACTTATAACCTGTACGAAGCACGAGCAACTTCACTAACAGACTAATCATCTACACTAACAATGTATGTACAGTATGTTGAACTTATTTCACACCGTACGTAGCCAACCGTGCTAATCGGAGGTGCGACATCTACATGACCCATCACACTAACACCATCTAAACTAACACCCACCATCCATACGAACACCGTCTAAGCCTTCTATCCTCTCGCGCGTTCTCTTCCCCTTTGGCTGATATTCCATGGGCAGTCTTGATCACCATCCCCTCCTCGTCATGATACTACCTGCCCAAGCTCACTTAAAATAAAGGATTATCCCATGCAAGTGTTCCCTCCGAGTCTCAACGCAAATTTCCAGGAAAGCATCCCACTTTGTCCACGGCGTAACATTCGGATTAAACTTTTTGTAAATAACCTTGTGACTGATCAATGTCTCCTGACCCACATCCTTATGGTTCTTTGCATGATCAAGTTTACTTTTACCAAAAAGCATTTTAACGCGCTCGCACGCAATTCATAATCGATTGAAACGAAACGCAAGAGTGGAACACGATGCCATCCAATAATGAGATACACTAACAAGGACAGCCACTTTGGAGATACTCCAGCCAAAGTTAATGGTAGAAGATGTAGATTTGAAGCTTTCGTGACTGCAGGAATCCATACTCTTTGGTTCTTTCGGTAAAGTCACGTAGCTTTAAAATATAATTTAGATGGTGTTAGTGTGATGGGTAATGTAGATGTCGCACCTCCGATTAGCGCGGTTGGCTACGTACGGTGTGAAAGAAGTTCAACATACTGTACATACATTGTTAAAATATACCTACGTGACTTTACCGAAAGAACCAGAGAGTATAGGTAGAAGATGTTTCAGAAAAAATATTATGCAGAAAGGCCAACATGAATTTGAAGAAATATTAACCATGTCAGATTGGCTTATAGTTGTTATATAATTAGTCAATAGAACTTTCAAAAGGCTGCAACAGTGTTTTTTTAGCACACTGCACTGTGAAAAACCAGTGAACAGAGTTGAGTTCTTGGCCACAGCTAACATCATTGGTGAATGATATGCAAACCATTCCTTGGCTTCCTCCTATGTTGACTCGACCTTAATACCCAGTGTGTAAAAATACAAATCAGCACTAGGAAGAAGGTCAAAGATGACCGTGCCTGGTTCTGGCTACAACACTTCTTCGTGCATTGTGTGTAGTCCCTTAATAGGTGCTCGCTATTAGCACTTGCCTTTTTGTTTATTATCGAATGTGGGGAGCTGGTGAAGTTGTTGGTGCCCTGCACTGCAGCATGGATGGATCAAGGTTACGTTCTTGCCAGGAATAACATCAGCGTCGTGTGTCATCTGTCTTGGCGCCCTCAGAGTCTCACTGAGCCATAAGGGAAACTTAGCCTGGTGCTGTATGTAAGCAGCAGCAGCAGCACCGGAGGGATACATGTCATAAGGCGTGATGTTGGCCACATCACATCACTCCATCGCGTGCAGTGCCTGCTTGAAGGACTCAATTAGTTACATCAGTGCCCCCCCAAGACAGAGCATTCATGAATGTCATAGAAATTATCGTCCATGGGCAATATTGCCAATAACGAAGATAACTTCTGTAACTAGAATGACTAAACTAAAGTAATTTTAATCTTGATTTGAAGCTTTCGTGACTGCAGAAATCCATACTCTTTGGTTCTTAATTTTACCCGGTTGTAGGCCACTGAGGTATATAGCTTTTTTTCAGAAGCCACCTGGCCACAAATGATAGCTTAACAAAATGGCTTATTGTGTTTAAATTTATAGCATCCAAATACTTTAAACGCGTGATTTTGATTGTAATGTGGAGGGAAAAACCGGAGTATCCCGAATAGAAATCTATGCAACCACGGGGAGAACAAGCAACTATACAAGTGTAACGGGTTCCGGAGACACTTGTAGAGGTAACTTCTTTATTACGATCCAACACTCCAACACTCCAACAGTCCAACTACTCTGTTACAGCCTAGGTACACAGCCTAGGTACACAGCCTAGATACACTACTCTGGCTACGCTCTGGAACTCGCCCTCACAAGGACGTAGAGCCGGGAGTTCCAGAGTCCCACCACTCGCTCTCACAACATCCCAGGGTCCTCAGATGGCTGGTCTTGGGTCTTGAGCTACAACTGGCCCTGATCGTCCAGGGAGCTCCCCTTTTATACCTAGTCCCCAACGAGGGGTGGGGCCGCGTGCGCCCCCAGATATCCCACAGAGCACACACAGCACCCCCCGTTGGTGGCGGCAAGCGGCTTAAGCGCCTGGGCCGCCCGGGAACCTAACGCCTGGCGCCAAGAGGCTTAAGCGTCTGACCCGCCTGGGAACCCAGCGCCTGGCACCAAGGGGCCCAAGCGCCTGGCCCGCCCAGGGTCCCAGAGCCCCCAGCAGCCCCTCCCTTCTTATGTCACTACACAAGTGTAGTGAGTGTAAGTAGCGCAGGAGACGTCGATGGAGGCAACACGTATTTATTAACAAGAGCTACGATACAGCACGTAGCAAACCCTCACACTTGAAGGGGTAACGGCCCCTTCACCCGATTCTATTAGAGGATGTGTTCCTCAGCTAACGTTCCTCGTTAGCTCCTACTACACCCCTCTATCTCAGACCATCCTAAAGGAGGCTAACTGACCTGGCCCAGCTTCGGCTCAGGTCCGACCCTCAGCCACTCGAGTCTGGCCCTCACAGGGACCCAGACCTCGCTCTCTGAGGTCGCCCCTGGCTTGCCCTGCTCTCGGCTCTTATAAGAACTGCGAGACAGGGTAGTCCCAGGGCTAGGCTAGTCGCTCTTCAATCTTCACTGGCTCTTCATTCTCTTATGGCTCCAACGACTGCCTCGAACTCTCTCTCTCACCGCCTTGTATACCCAACCCCCCCCCCCCCCCGAGGGGCGGGGCTGTGTGGGATCCCAGCCACAGCCTCCACACAGCCCCCCAGGGTAGTGACCGTTTGTGGACGTTGATGTAGACACCCCCAACGTAACAGCTCGCCACACCCCGTTACGTAATACCTCTACACAGGCGTCAGTCAGAATCAAACTCTTGACCAGGCGAGGTAGTTAACATATCGCCACCGCAGTGCAGTGGTATTCACATGATACACAGCATAATAACATTATGCTGTGTGTAATATTACAGTAACACTAATAAAACATGAAATTTTAATTCCACTTACTCGCAGTTTTTGCCTATCCTCTGCAATCAGATGAAGAGTGTTACCAATAAGGAATACAAAACCCGTGCCTTTGCTTGCGAGGATGCGAGTGTATCACTCTAATTATTCGATGGGGTTGCGCGAGATCGATACTACTGGGACATCGCACATAGGAACACGAACTTCGAGCCTGGGTGACTGTACGAATCCGCACATCAGCGTCAAGGAGAGGTGGAGGCGAAGGCCAGTCTACCCCACCGCCCTCCCTCCATCTCCTGTGCTTGGGCACACGACAACCCTCGCGTCTTAATGCATCTTTAATCTGCGGCAGGTGCAGTCAACGGAGCAATCAAGGATCTGTCATCACTGCCTGCCGCAGTGGCATGGAGCCGTTTGACCAGCTTGCGTGATTCGCTGGAGAGATTAGCTTCCGTTAATAAGTATATTTAAAGTAAATTGCATGCAGTTTCACCAGCTTAATTTTGTTTTGTTACCAAAAAAGTCTTGAGTATTACAAGTCATGGGTTCGAGCACATATATGTGCCATCTAAATGCCATCTAAAGTATAAAATCTTTAGTCGTACTATATTGACTTTTTTTTAGAGAGCCATGAGCCGTATCTCATTTAACAAGGTTATAATGCAGTGCTCAGGGCCATTGAAAGAGAAATACCTTCAAAGTTTAACCACTGCAATTGGTACTACCGATGAAAATATCTCTTTAGGGCCCTGTGGACTAAGGTATGAGGAAATGCACTTCGCTGCTGGCCATAACAGTCACTGCATAATGTAGCCATGCAGATGTTTCAATGTTATTGCACTCAAACTGTGTTCCACAAATTGAAAATATATAGACAATGAGATGAAGAGTAGTTATGGATTCATGCTTTTTCTAGGGCCCATTTTTTTCCTAGGCTCCATTTCGAATTTATTTTCAATTTAAATTGAGTTTATGCATGAAATAAAAAGCATAATTCCAAATATAAAACTTTGAAATTTAAATTAAAGTTCCATTGGTAAAAAAAAAACTCCATACAAGTATATTTGGAAAAAAAATGTGTACAAATTTAAACCACGACGTTTCGATCGCAACACAAGCGGTCGTACGCTTGTGTTGTGATCGAAACGTCGTGGTTTTTATTTAGATTTTTTTTTTTATCTACGTGACTTTACCGAAAGAAACAAAGAAAATGAATTTCTGCAGTCATTAAAGGCTTAAGTCAAAAGTATATTTGGGTTTTGATTTCAGCAAAAGTCATGTCACCATAAAAATTACACGAGGACACCACAGGTCAATCCACAACCATTTGTTTTGGACAATCCAAAATGTAGTATTTAGTCCTTATTTTCAGGATATTCCCAGTAAATCATACAATTGGGAACACCCTGAGTTTAACATTCAGCTTTTTATCAATAGACACATTTTTTTTGCGACATTGCACAATATTTTATATTGTGATTCGTTCGAAAATGAATTCTTTTTCTTTTTAAAAATCAACAAGGAATTTAACAGCTGGGATCCGAACCTACGACCCAATCTCAATGGGAAGTATTTACCCCATTACACCATCGTAACATTGGCCAGCTTGGGTTATTTTAACCACATCTGTTAATAATTTGGGCTAAAGAGTGCTTTGTATTTTTGTCAATTTGCCTGTATAACCATGTTAATACTTTGGCTTGCATGTCTTCGCTGTAGCCAGAGTTGCAGGGCAAGGCGTGTGGGCCAGCGCGGAGCCTGGTGCGCATGATCGGCACGCACCTACCTCTCAAGCCCTGCACCCGAGCCTTCATACAGGTACCCCCACTGCTATTGTATTTACGTATGTACGTTGAATTCCTTTCGCACTGTGCTCTAACCGCACCTCTAAATAGGACGGTTGGCCACCTACAGTGCGAAAGAATTTCAAGATACACACTTGTATCACATCAACGCTGCGCCATCATTGGCCTCACCCGAGCCCAACTTGAATCCCACGCACTCTTGCTGGGTGGCATGAGCAGCGGCAAAATTCTGTACGCTAAGAATCCTCCATTGGGCGGCACAGGGATCACTAAATGGAGACATTTCTAGATTTTTTTGAAAATGGCCTTTATTCTGCCAAAAAGTGGTGGAGCGATAGCCAACATAGTTGCATAGACTGGGCCTTTGTACTTTGTGCAAGTCTTCTGCAGACCTTTGCCGGTTATCATTAGATCATTATGGTTATGTAATATGGTGCGTTTTTTTTCTTCAGATTTTCAAAAGTTAAAGTTCTACCACATTTAAATCTTGGCAGTCTTAGTTTTAAACGTTTTGAAATGTCTTATTTTGATACAAGTTTATACAACATACTATACATTGTATTTATCAACACTTGTTATTGGCCAAGTCATTTTCCATTTTAGGGTCATCAATAACAGACAAATGGTTTCCTTTGAGCAACATTTGGATCAGATTCTCGTTGCAAGGTAATGTTGACAACTCCCTACAAACTTCAAACCTGTAAATGAGAAAACGAATCTGCAACAGAAACAAACAAAATTGGGGTGGAAATAAATATATTTCACAATGAAAGGTGTGCATTAAATGCACAAAAAGCCAAATGTCCATCCAGCACTTTTGAGCCGATGGTCTGCATAAGTAGGAGAGGTTTTGTAATTGCAATGCACACGTGTGTGTGGCTAAATATATCCCTACAAAGTACAAAATGTTCGCTGGAGAAAGGTTTCCAAGTAACAGATAATACCAATGTTGTATTTCCATATTTTACCTGTATAAAATAATTTATTAAGGTGTACAAAAATTTAGCCCCGAGCTGAATTCCTCTAAATGTGCATTAATCTAGATGTTTGTTTACATTTACCACTGCTTGACGACACAAGACTGGTTTATCTTGGCTGGTCATTAAAATTTCACATTCAAGTTTCCTTGCTTTTGGCTTTCGTGCAGCAATGTCGTATGAACACATTGAAACACCCATTTACATATTAGAAATTGTATGATTAATCTCGATCTAGATGTGCTCAGTTGTGACCGATGGATTCTACGTGGTGGTTGCATTCACCACTGAATCATTTGCACAGAATGAGCTGTTGCATTTTTGCAACTGTCTGCCAGGTAGTGTGGGCAATTACTAAAGTGCACCATGTGCTATAAATTGTACATCTAAATAACTTGTATGCAGTCGAGATAAAAACGTCTGTCGGCAGCAACTTCGATGAAAGCACATTCTGTCCTGTTGACCATGAGTTGAAGGTATCATTCTGCCAAGTTATATGGTCAGAGCCCATGTTCGCTCCGTATATATTTAACAAAATCATGGGTGTGCTACAAAATACAACACCAGGGAATAAACCTCGCCCACAGATGGTGGCCAACCAATCAGGTCCCGGATCCCTCTGACGTATATGCAGTGTACACGTGTATGGCAGAGTTGGTCTGTTTATCATGTAGGCTTTCGCGACCAATATCGATAAGAGGTTTTTTGGGTTAGATCGCGTAAATATATAAATGTATCGTTAAACCCGCCACCACCCGACACAGCCAACTAGTAAGGGTTGTCACGTAAACAACATGCCAATTCGTCACTAGTACAGTACACTGGTGTGTTGGAGAGCCAAGCCACAACATTTACAATCTGAGTACGACGTTTCGCCAGTAATTACAACTAGCTTCATCAGGCGACAGCCAGATTTGTGGAGAAGTCTGTTTCGTTCCTTATATAGAGGCGTAGATGTGGTGATCACACTTCTGCGCTCTTGCGCCACGTGGGGGGGGGGGGGGGATTACAGAGGTCTGTCCGCCTGTCTTCAGAACATTGCTTGGGCTGGCACTTTCCTAGGAGGACTCTTATCAACTCCCATTTGTTGAGAGATCACTTATTCACCTCCACCGTGTGAAATCCCTTGCATTATCCGGCCAGCTCCCTCCCCTTGTGTCGAAGCCTAGACCAGGGGTTGGCAACCTGCAGCTCCTGTGCCACGTGCGGCTCTTGAAATTTTAAAATAATCGCCGCACTTGATATTTTGGTTGGCGACCCCTGGCCTAGACTCATACTTGTCAACCCCTTATCAGTGTCTAACTTATTACAGACCAGTTCAGATCTTTTTGGTCACCCCGTGCCCTTATAAATCTCACCGTTCATCCTACAAAGTCCCATCACAAGGGAGAAACACAAACCAACAGCCAATTTTTTTTTGCTCGTATTGAAACGGCTGTTCGCTGTATGGACTGTATACAGTGATGAAAAAAGTATTTGATCCCCTGCTGATTTTGTACGTTTGCCCACTGACAAAGAAATGGTCAGTCTATATTTTAATGGTAGGTTTCTTTGAACAGTGAGAGACAGAATAACAACAAAAAATCCAGAAAAACGCATGTCAAAAATGTTATAAATTGATTTGCATTTTAATGAGGGAAATAAGTATTTGACCCCTCTGCAAAACATGACTTAGTACTTGGTGGCAAAACCATTGTTGGCAATCACAGAGGTCAGACGTCTCTTGTAGTTGGCCACCAGGTTTGCACACATCTCAGGAGGGATTTTGTCCACTCCTCTTTGCAGATCTTCTCCAAGTCATTAAGGTTTCGAGGCTGACGTTTGGCAACTCGAACCTTCAGCTCCCTCCACAGATTTTCTATGGGATTAAGGTCTGGAGACTGGCTAGGCCACTCCAAGACCTTAAGGTGCTTCTTCTTGAGCCACTCCTTTTTTGCCTTGGCCGTGTTGTTTGGGTCATTGTCTTGCTGGAATACCCATCCACGACTCATTTTCAATGCCCTGGCTGAGGGAAGGAGGTTCTCACCCAAGATTTAACAGTACATGGCCCTGTCCATCGTCCCTTTGATGCGGTGAAGTTGTCCTGTCCCCTTAGCAGAAAAACACCCCCAAAGCATAATGTTTCCACCTCCATGTTTGACGGTGGAGATGGTGTTCTTGGGGTCATAGGCAGCATTCCTCCTCCTCCAAACACGGCGAGTTGAGTTGATGCCAAAGGGCTCCATTTTGGTCTCATCTGACCACAACGCTTTCACCCAGTTGTCCTCTGAATCATTCAGATGTTCATTGGCAAACTTCAGACGGGCATGTATATGTGCTTTCTTGAGCAGGGGGACCTTGCGGGCGCTGCAGGATTTTAGTCCTTCACGGCGTAGTGTGTTACCAACTGTTTTCTTGGTGACTATGGTCCCAGCTGTCTTGAGATCATTGACAAGATCCTCCCGTGTAGCTCTGGGCTGATTCCTCACCGTTCTCATAATCATTGCAACTCCACGAGGTGAGATCTTTCATGGAGCCTCAGGCCAAGGAAGATTGAAAGTTATTTTGTGTTTCTTCCATTTGCGAATAATCGCACCAACTGTTGTCACCTTCTCACCAAGCTGCTTGACGATGGTCTTGTAGCCCATCCCAGCCTTGAGTAGATCTACAATCTTGTCCCTGACATACTTGGAGAGATCTTTGGTCTTGGCCATGGTGGAGAGTTTGGAATCTGATTGATTGATTGCTTCTGTGAACAGGTGTCTTTTATACAGGTAACAAGCTGAGATTAGGAGCACTCCCTTTAAGAGTGTGCTACTAATCTCAACTCGTTACCTGTATAAAAGACACCTGGGAGCCAGAAATCGTTCTGATTGAGAGGGGGTGCAAATACTTATTTCCCTCATTAAAATGCAAATCAATTTATAACATTTTTGACATGCATTTTTCTGGATTTTGTTGTTGTTATTCTGTCTCTCATTGTTCAAATAAACCTATCATTAAAATTATAGGCTGATCATTTCTTTGTCAGTGGGCAAACGTACAAAATCAGCAGGGGATCAAATACTTTTTCCCTCACTGTAACAATTTGGGTTAACAGGTATGTAGTCTAAATACCTCTCTCTTTCCCTATTGTAATTGAGCTGTCCAACACAACAACAAACTCACATTCATTAACACTGTGGTCTTGAAAAGAAAAAATATATAAGAGGTGACGTTTCAGGAAATTACCCTTATGCACAGCACACGTGCCAGAGAGGGAGAGTAAAAAAAATATCGGGTCTGTTGGCAAAACACAACTCTTATGCCCGTATAATACAGGCTGCGGCATTCCTCAAACTTGCAAATGAAGAGCCCAAGCTTCTCTGACATCAATGAAATGACGTTGACGATCATGCTCGGAACATAACCTTTGTAGTAGTACGACACTCTGGAACGGAATCTGAAGGAAAACTAATGATGTACACGTACATCATCGGAATGGGAAAGAGTTAAACCCATCATTCATGCCTCGCAAAGTATTTCACGCCGTATGTGTATTCCGCGTGCCGTGCCGCAGACGGCGTTAATTTCGTAGCATGTCGCTTGTCCAACAGTCAGCGGGCGCGTGCAGCTTGGATCAACTGGGTGACCTGCGATGAATCACGAGATTATTTCATTCGTTCAAATTTGCGTGCACGATATTTCCGTCTTAACCAAAACTTTCTAAAAACTGGACGGTGCTACGTTTAAAACAAATAACTTTAAACTTACATCTTTACTTTAACTTTTACTCAACAGCTACGACATACTGGTACTGTTAGGAGAGTAATTAATGCGTGCCATATGTGGTTAAACTTTTTCCAGAACTCTTATTTTAGAGCAGAGATCCTTGACATTGAAATAAAAGTTAGTGTTCTTGGTTCTTTCGGTAAAGTCACGTAGAAGGGAAGTAATAAAATAATAATAATAAAACAATTCTCACGACGTTTCGGCCACGGTCCGTCGAGGCGACAGAGTCTGAACATTCAGATTCTGTCGCCTCGACGGACCTGGTTTTCACCTGAGGACGGCTGCTTGCGTTGTGGCCGAAACGTCGTGAGAATTGTTTTATTATTATTATTTTATTACTTCCCTTCTACGTGACTTTACCGAAAGAACCAAGAAGATGAATCCCTGCAGTCACGAAAGCTTTAAATCGAAATTTAAAAGTTAGTGCTTTCACGCTGCGAGAATAAAATAGCACCCAAACACTGAATTTGTTCCATCTTTCGTGAGTTAAGGTAAAAAATATAGACTCGCCCAGAACTAGTGTAGCAAGGATATCTTTTTTTATATCTCATAATAATAAGTCTATCATCTCGTGGAAGTATCTGGGTTATAATTTATTCACTTCATATTGTTTCACAAAATTTCACTGATGTAGGCTACAGAATAATTAGACATTTCTATACTTATTTTTTTTCGTTATTTAAATGCCATTGTAAACTTTATTATTTCCCAGGTTATAGTTTCTCAACAATATCATCAACGTTCAACCCACCTTGCTTAATAACACGTTGAACTGTTGCCTGTTATGCCTGTCACAGACCGCTGGGAAGGATCAAGACATCCAGCAGTTAAATGCCAGCCCAGAGGAAGACCAGGACGTGCCTTCACTGGCAGATATCATGTGGATAATGGACGATGAGGGCGAGACCTTCAGCAGACTCCGGTGAGGCTCTAAGTTCAACATCTGGTTTTGGGTACAAATCGGAAAACCCTTTGCATTGTGGAAATTGTCCCACCTTGTACAGCTTGTGTACGCATCTGGCGCATTGTACGGCATTGGCAGTTAAGTTCTTGGTAGCGAAGAACGGTAATTTTCCCCCGTGGCATTTTTTGCCACTGGTAGGTTTTCCACGTAACTGCAATTTTGACGAAAATGAGAGCATTGAGATCCTTCACAGTTTGCCATGGAAACACCTTTTGAAGCAAATAAGAGAACAACTTGACACCAATGTATTGCCTTTAAAGAATGATCTACCTTATTCGGAAAATAAAAGTAGCATATTGTATAGCATTTTTATTATTTCATGTATTTGCACTGCTATGCGTTTGTAGATTATAAATAGGTTGTATGGAAAATGAGCGTGCCCATTGAGATTATCTTGCACCATAGCCCCCGGTATATTTTGTTCTACTTGGACCAATCGTTTTAGGAGCGGGTTTTTGAGATGGCGATAGTTTTCACCTGCGTTACAGTATATAACAAAGTCCAATACCATGGTCACCCTTCTTTAAATCACCAGTGCTCTTAACTGAGTAAAAGTAACGTGTTAAAGCGTTCGATAAATCAATCTTAATCGAGCTATGGGGCAGTGTCCATCCTTGTTGTGATGAAAAGTTCATGTTGGCATGCCAGCGGCATGGATAATAATCCACAAAAAATTACTATTTTTGCTCGTGACTCTAAGTTGATAATTTCAATTCTTCGTCAATTCTTACGGTTGTTACTTATCCATAAGAGGTTTTTTTGGTTAGATCGCGTAAATATAAATGTGTCGTTAAAACCCGCCACCACCCGACACAGCCAGTTAGTAAGGGTTGTCACTGTAAACAGAACGTGCCAATTCGTCACTAGTACAGCACACACATTGTAAATGTTGTGGCTTGGCTCTCCAACACACCGGTGTGCTGTACTAGTGACGAATTGGCATGTTCTGTTAACATGACAACCATTACTAGTTGGCTGTGTCGGGTGGTAGCGGGTTTTAACGACACATTTATATATTTACGCGATCTAACCCATAAACCTCTATTATGGATGATATTGGTCGCGAAAGCCTCCTACGTGTTAGATTGTTACTTATGTCAAGGCCTAAAATCAGGCCCTCACTCCTAAATTGTTGGAAGAGGTCAACTATTTTTTGATCCGCCGCAGTTCCATTAAGAACAAGCAATTAAAGTCTCGTCATCAACTTTCACATTTGAGATATGGATGTTGTTGGTACACCATGAGCTCATGTGAATACATTTTTACAGCATCTTAGAATACAGTATTGCACAATTCATCGATTACCCCAGGCGTAGCAAACAGTCCCCTATATTATATTTTCCACATACATCTGTGCAGGCCACGAGGCAATTCAGTAGCCAGTATGTGGCATAAATGATTTCGAAATGAATTGTAAACTTACTCTGTGTGCATAATTCAATAATTAATATATCCCATGTGAAAGGTTGATCACCGTGTTAACTGAAGCACATTCTACCATTTGATAGAGCAGTACGGGGGGGGGGGGTGCCGTGGTAACACTTGTGCCACACGCCAAGGGCCTGGGTTCGTCGATTCCAAACTCTGACACCTTTATGTGTCGGGTTTTTATATTATTCTCCATTTCCTCGATAGCTACAAAAACACACGCACGGTCATTGGTGCCTTGCTCAAAAATATCCCAACGCAAAGACCCTCGTGAAAAAAATAACAAAGTTCGACACACTTTCCCGGGTAATAAGCAATTCATAATTATTCTCAAAACAATTTACAATCATATTTACCTTCTCTTGCTGCCAGGTCAGAGCTCAGGCCGGGCAAGCAGAATCGCCGCACCAACTCCCTGGCGTCGCTGCGCAAGGTTTTCTCTTCCCCGTGCATGCGTGGGCGTCCCACGGGCGCCCAGCCCCCTCTCGCAGAGGAGGACGCGCCCTCTCACCCCCGTCTGGAGGAAGAGCTGAGCCACCTGCGCGCGCAGATTGCGCTGCTGCTCGCCTGCAAGCCGACCCTGCAAGCCTCGTCAGGCGCCGGTCCGTCGCGTGCTCGGGCCGGGGTTTGCACTGAGAGGCCTCTGGTGCTAGGTTCCGCTTTGTGTGCGCGTGCGTGCTCGCGCTTGATATCGTAAAAATGGAGCTGACTTTTCTAGCTTGTACTGCGTGTTGTTTGGCAGTATACGGCACAAGCCCAAGGCACATCGGAGAGCTAGACACAGCAAAACCACGCAATCCTGCGCAGGAGTACAAACAGGTCCATTGAAGTTTCCTAACATTCCGCTGGTTACTTGAAATGTGGGCGATTCATTTTAAATATGATAACGTTATTTTCATGCACCCTTCAGATTATAGTCAAAGCCCACGTTATGAAATCGGGCGTTTCCATGATACAGGCACTCCTTTACTTACGAACATTCGACTCACGAACTTTCAGAGATGCCAACAGACCCGTCCGTATGTGCAGTTGCCTGTTCGAATCGAGAATCGTAAGTTTAACCCCTGCGCAATAGATGGTGGTGGTGGCATCTACATCCGCAGAACATGGAGAACCAGTGGAATCTTCATCTACAGGGGATTATACAACTCTTAAAGCCATTCCGGCATGTTTAGTGTACACGCCGTACAACGTGTTTGGAATCGAGAGGAGTAAAGTTGGACTTACGAATAAATCGACTTACGAACGGACATGGAACATAACTTGTTCGTAAGTAGAGGAGTGCCTGTTTCCTGACCACTTTATCGTGAAGCCTCGTGCTCCATACATTTGCCATGAATCCATTTCTCACATTTCCGGTTATGATTTCTGACCACCTCAATTTCTGCTGGAAAAATTTACCAAGTTATCCGTCGTACTGTTTTGACAATCTCGAGACAATATTTCTTATCAGGGGAATCTTTGAAAAAGGCCACTTGCCTCTTCATTAAATGTAGGCCATAGAGTTGTTACATTTTTTCAAACTCGGCAGGAATCATTTCAGATTTGCCAACCTCATTTACGCACTGTCAGATATACATAAAGTATCTCATTGAATACATGATTACAGTTGCCCGCAGAAGCAGTCCAAGTGGCGTTAAATCCCAGCATATAATTCATAAACAGGACTTCGTGCGAGAGTTAATTCCTAAGTTTGGGCAACTGGTAAACATTCCCCCAGTATTGCGGCTTCTAAAATGACACCGCAATGACATGTTTTGGGCAGTTTTCCTCATTCAAAGCTCTTAATCTGATTTAACATATTTTTACGTGGAGTTCAAACTGAGTGAAACACTGCCCCTTGCACCACACTATATTATTATTAACCAATACCCATGGCGATGCACCCCATCTGCAAGCTTGCAGCTACGTGCCAATCGGTATGGTGCCTCCTTGCCTGCTGGCATTGTTTATATCACAAACCCACATATTGCGTATCAGTCGCCTTACATTTATACAGACCATGCGTGAGTTCTAGTACCTGTTGTGTACGAGAGAGAGTGAGCACTGTTGTTCCCCAGTGATAACTCTCAACCTTGTGTTAGTGCTCATAGAAGCAGCCTAAGCAAAGCTCCATGCAGACAGAATCTATAATTAAAAAGAACGGTTATTTTTTAAATCCACTGCTGGATGAAGGCCCCCCACAGCATGTGGATTACGTGGCTAATTTGGCCTTACTTCACCACACTGGTCATTGTGGGTTGGTGAAGGGAGGGGCGGGACTGGTTCCCATACCACTTGCTGATGATGTTGGTCGTGGCCAGGAATCAAACCCTGGTCTCGCTGGGTTTCCTGACGATGTGTGCTAGCCACTATTCTACCTTCAGACTAAGTCGATCATAGCCCTAGCAATGTCTTAAAACGTGAAATCGCCACCGATCACACGTGAAGGTCTCCTTGGAAAGACGTGCGATGTTAAAGGATTCCTGCTTGAATGTTGCGTGTCACTCTACTATTTCAAACAAATGCTTTATCCATAAAAGCCTCGCCGAGAATCATTTGAAAAGAAGGAATGTGGGAGGCAACTATGGTACCCAGAGAAACCGTGTGTAGAACACTTAAAATGCACCCTGACAAATGTGCGAACTTGACTTTACTGCCATCTCCTGGCGACTGGATTTAAGTTCAACAAACAGGCTGGGCATCGACTACACCATGGCACCTCGTTGATCTCTCAATCTCGCCTCGAAAAACAAACAAATTCCAAGGAGGTATACACCCCCAAGGCTCAACAAAAAAACTTCGAACACCAACTTTGGCATCTGACAATGTATTATTTAGTTGTGTTTTGTGTTATTTCATCGATGAAAGGTGCCATGGTGTACAGCTAATCAAGTGCATTGCACCAAGATTTCTCAATTACATTACGCCCATTATGGACTGACTGAAATACATTTTAAACAAGGTTAATTCCCACAATACTTTGTTATTACTCCAGGAAGCCAATCAATGTATTAACCACCAAGACATCTTCAATGTACATCAAAATTTCCGAGGCGCAGGCAAGAGAAGCTGCTGTCGTTTTCCCGTTGCAATTCTAAAGTCTTGTGTGAACGCCTGTGACCAATTCGCCCGGAAAGCTCCCAGTCTCAGATATCAGAAGTCAAGCAGGATAGGTGCCTGTGTAGTGTGCACGACACTGGGAGGCCCTCATCCAGCAGTGGAAAAAGCACTGTACATGCACACGAAAGCTTAACTGTAGCGTGGATGCCTTTCCATCCCTCGCTGGATGGTGTGTGTGCGTGCGTGCGTGATTGTACAGAGGACCAGTCGTGCAGCGTGCCGGCCAGCCTGGCGTGGGTTCTGGGCTCTGAGGAGCACAGTGACGACGAAGACGAGACGCCAAACGAACACTTCGGTCCCCTGAGCAACGCTCAGCCTTACAGGTGTGTGTGTGAGCGGTAGTGCAGCGGTTAGCACACTGTGCTATGAAACCGGTGACCCGAGTTCGATTCCCGCTCATGGTTAACACCGGTGACATATCTGCACCGGTTCTGGCCCTCACCTAGGTCAACTCGGCCTTAAATGAGTATCTGGTAAGATTTTAAATATCACAACGAGGGAGATGAAGGTGACCAGGTGGTGCTGGCCACCCACCCCCCTCGTGTGCAGTGCCGGCCTTCATTAGGTGATTGCTCGCAGTGTGCGCCCACCCGTCTAACGACCTGGTAAATGGCTCGTTTTAAGTACTTCTAGAATATTCTGCAGACGTGGGGGGCTGGTGGGTCCTTATCAAAAATCGCCCACAAACTAATTTGCCTGGGTACATCACGGATGCCAACACCTTAACCTGTGGTTTATTTGGGGGGCGCGGAGGGGGCCCTCTGCCAGTGTGAATGTGGTTCTCACATCGGTAGGTTACTAACCGAGAAGTCTCCGTGGCCACCTTTGTGTTGTGTGAAGATGTCTTACCTCGGGTGTCAATGAGCGTTGAGTGCGTTAAGCTGTGTAGAAGCTGGCATGCCACAAAGCTCTTTTGTCCAATTTTCACGGAAACCAATGGCACACTTTCGCAAATAACTCACAACTCGTAGACATTAAAATTCCAGCATGATCTTCCTCACCACGGCTCTGAGGTGCACTAAGAACGTGCAAAAACTTGTATCGCTGTTGACCAACCGGTAGCTGCAGTGGCCACGGTCTAACAATAGGAGGCATAGCAACTGCGATGAGGCAACATTGTCCAGTCCAAACACAACTGGTGGCGGTTGGGAGTCACGTTTGTCACAGCAATTTCACATCGCTCATAAGACAATAGGTACCTGCACCCACCTAGCCACGTTTAAAACATGACAATTTAATGAAAACAAGTGTTAGTGAAAGCTTTATTTATTTAAACAAGTACCGATACACTTAACTACAGAGATCTGAATTTACTTCATCGTAATATTCATGTTTGTGCAATTGAGGGCATCCTCCATGCCGAGCTACGCTTGATCGTAATGGATACATGTCCTGTGTCGCAGCTCTTGTTCAATGAAGGCCGAGAGGCAGTCTGCGTTACAGCACTGCATTTATATAAGTGCAGCTCAGTACAATGTAAAGTAGCTACAGAACAGGACAAATACAATCAAGTAACACATTTTCATCGTTGACAAAATTAAGTGTTAGTGAAGGCCTTTTTTAACGTGTGCAGGTCTTCAGGCGTGATAAAAAAAAATGGACATGAATGGGCAGATCTGACCCAGGCTAGGTTAGGAGCATTACATGAACTGATTCCCTTAGCCCGAGTGTAGATTGTGAGCCGAGGGATGTCCTAATAATTAAAGAGTTTTGTGAATGAAGAGAAACATGCGAGCTCAGTGAAGCAACCAAGATCATTTCAATGCCTCGTTAAAAAATCAGAACGTCCAAATGGTCAACAAAACAGCGAGCGGGGAGCCCATAAAATGAGGCAAGAATTCAAGGAACGTGTACAGACTTTTTTTTTCACTCATGGAAGTGTGTAACAATGTAGCAGGGACCGTTCGTTCGCAGTGGAGTGAGCATCACGTTTTCGGGGCGAGGCTGGTGAAGCTCTGCTCCCCTGGGCTCGCCGTCACCTCCAGCAGATGGAATATAGGAAGCCAGTGCAATTGTTCGGTCAAGCCGAGATGGACACTCGGTTTTCCTCTTCGCACACGCAAGTCCATGCGCTTGTGTGACCCCCTTCGGAGCGTTACTCGGGCAGGATTGCTCAATGCAATGGCTCACAAGCCACATGAAGTGATTGTCAGGGTTGCGTTGAGAATTATTTACACGCATCCCCTTAAAATTGCGGTCTCTTTGAAGCTCATTTTTTTGCGCAATTGTATATACACACACACCCATACGTGCTCCTGCCTGCTCTTGCTGTCGACTGTACTATACAGCCAGGAAGCTACGACACATCTTGTGTAATACTGATCCAAATTTTAATCTCAATTAAAACAAGAGCTGTAATCAACAAGTCGTACAATTAAACAAAGGCAACACACACACCACATGAGCTCTTTGCTTGGACTGCAGCAAACATCAGTGCCTGTACGAGTGAGCAGCGTCAGAATAGAGCATGCCGACAAAACTACCCACGTGTCTACGCGGACTGCCACCTTTTATCAGATTGCTACTGCCCAGATAGATTTACAGGCTGCTGCTCGTTATTCTGATTGCATGATTACACAATTGAGTTCTCCCCCCCCCCCCCATCCAGTTGTCACACCAGTTGTCCCTCATTACAATCAGCTGATGCTGCATACAAAGTGGCCGCTTTTATCGGCAAGACTTGATTAATCAGCTGGGACTTGCACCGTTGAATTGATTGCACTATGCATGAGCCTGTGTTCGTCAGTCGGTACCTGATGAACCCACAATTACCGTAATTCACCTTCTTACAGCCCTTAAAGTCCATAACGATTTGGTTTATGTAATGTATTAGCCACGGTTGGCGATGTACGGTGTGAACGAAGTTCAACATACATTCAGAGTGCCCGTCGCCTGACAACACATGCACCATGTTGACATCTCTTACACTTGGAGGTGGCAGGACAGCTCTTGTTTGTGCACAAACGCTGGCCCACTGAGCACACACACACACTAGCTAGATGCAGTTTAGTAGTTAAGCTATAATTATAGTGACTCAGGTTTCAATTGTTCACCGTGCACAAAAGTGTAATTGGTGTCTTACACCAGTGTAATTGGTGTCTTACACCTGGCATGAACCTGCACGAGTGATAGCAGATGCTGTTTGTCAGCATCGGTACAGGAAGCTGGACATGTCTGCTTCTCTCATACGCTTGCCCCAACATTATCTTTAGGCTTAATGGAGGTTTCGATTTAAAGCTTTCGTGACTGCAGGGATTCATCTTCTTGGTTCTTTCGGTAAAGTCTGTTGATATGCAAATTCCTTTGTCAAGGCGCCCTCCTCCTCTAACCCAGCTTAAATATACGCTGCCAAGCTTGGTGGTGTTCATTCAATACGCTGTCTTTCCGACAGGCTCTGTTTCTTCACCTGAGGACTGGCTGCTTGCGTTGTGGCCGAAACGTCGTGAGAATTGTATTTTATTATGTTTTATTTTTATTATTTATTATTTCCCTTCTACGTGACTTTACCGAAAGAACCAAGAAGATTAATGGAGGTTCTTTGTCTTTGTGTGTGTGGATGCACATATACGAACATCCTCATGATGTTTTGCATCTAGCTTGAGTCCCAACAGTTTTAACGAGGCCATGATAGGTGATTATGTTTGTGCATGTATTACATGCACACCTATATTTGAAACCAATAAATATTGCTCTTACAAAAAACTGATACACCATCACTTAATAAAAGTTCATGCCAGCGTTGCATAGTTTTAAATCTCAAATCCTAGGGCAGTGGTTCTTAGCCTTGACTGCAGCCTCTCCAGCCCTTTGGTTCACAGGAAGGGCACCACGCGCCGCCAGGAGGTGTGTGCACCCAGGTTAGAGCCACTGTCCGAGAGCCATCCCGCAGTCGTTCGTCTCATTTTCATACGTTTTCCGAAAGGCGTTTGATTATAGACTAGATTCGAAGCTTCCCTGACTGCAAGAATTGCTCTTTGGTTCTTTCGGTAAAGTCACGTAGAAAATAAAATAATAGAATACGACGTTTCGATTGCAACACAAGCAGCCATCGTCAGATCAGAATGAATGATAAAACACAGACACGGGAACAGCATAGGCAGACACACATGTAGAGAGAGACGCACACAAAGACACACTGAGTGAGATACACCAAGATTGATGTTCTTCCAAAGATTGCTAAATTAGAAGTTAAGTGTGGAACAGACAAGCAAGGAGACATTTAGAGAGATAAATTGGAAGTTTGACAACAAATTTAGTAAAATTAGAGAGTCATGTAATGCAACGCAGAGTGTTGGCTAACACAGTTAACGCATAGCCTGGTTGATTAACGTTCTCCCAAAGATTTCAAAATTATAAGTAAAGTGTGAGTTGTGAGTAAACCCTCCCCATAGAGGTGGTTCAAACTAGATTCAAAGCTTTCAGCAATCTAATTCAGCAATCTTTGGGAGAACGTTAATCAACCAGGCTCTGCGTTAACTGTGTGTTAACTGACCCTCTGTTGCATTGCATTACACTTCTTAATTTTACTAAATTTGCTTTCTCAAACTTTCGATTTTCTTGCTCTAAACCATTGACTCTCCTCCGGCCACTGTGGTCCGGAATTCCACACTGCTCCCTCCTTGTCCCCTTGTCTGTCCACTGGTCCCCTCTCGTCTGTCCGCCTCCCCAGTCCTCTCTTTGCCTGAGCCCTCCCCCCCCCCTCTCTCTATCTAACGCCTCGACACAGATTAGTTGTCCTTCTGTTTGTCTCGGTGTGTGTCTCGCTCGGTGTGTCTTTGTGTGTGTCGCTCTCTGCATGTGTGTCTGCCTATGTTGTTTCTGTGTCTTACCTGATGATGGTTGCTTGTATTGCAATCGAAACGTCGTATTCTGTTATTATTTGATTTGATTTTCTACGTGACTTTACCGAAAGAACCAAAGAGTGTTTGATCATACTTTGGCACGCATCGATTTAGAAGCATTCAAAGTGAACCGTGGAGTTGCAAAGGTGCTTGAGCGTAAGAAGTTCTCGCTTAACGGCGCGGTTTGTCTGTTGCTTACTTTGTATTTGTTGTTGTAACGTTCTGACCTGCCCCCTGCTTGCTCTGTGAAACAAAGAGCTTCATAGCCCATCGGATCCCTCCTGCAGTCTCAATGAACATTCTGATTCCAGTGGCACCGCACTGACGGACAACGGGCGCCACCCAGCCGACCCGGCGTCCGTCATCACGGAGGCCGTCAAGCTCAAGTTTTCGAGTCCTTCCTGAGGAGGCCTCTCGTCTTCCTCTCCCCCCCCGAGTGGCAAGAGGTGGCACTGCCCACGTGGGGAAGTGTTTTCCAACTGAGAGTGTGAGTGAGATTCGCGTACGTGAGCCGCGTGGCGTATAATCCCGTTGCCTTTCCCCCTCCATGCACCTTTGAGCATTGCCAACGTGAACGCACATTTACTTGCCTGTGTTTTATTGCCCTCTGCTGCACCATACGCTCTGACCTCAACCCTAAAATGGCCAATCTGTATCGCACACTCGGATGGATTCAGTTCACACCATGAATTGAGTGAACTCATAGCGTCAAAAAGTTATTTTTAGACGGCCACGTGTTACGTGCCAGTTATTAATCACTTGTGGAAAGTTACCAGATTACAATGTGTGTACACAAGCTTCTTTATAAAATAACGGAGTTCAAAGTCCTGGTAATATGGGTCTTGCCTTCATGCGGCTTCAATGTACAAAATCAGTTAATTCGGGCGGGTGGCATGTTTATTAAAAAGCCTCACGGTAAATCGAGGAAGATGGAAAGCAAGAAGCATTGGCATCTCTGTTTTCATCATTCATACACCATACTCGCTTTTTAACTTACTTTTTTAAGTTTTTTCTTGAGGAAGCCTTCCCTTTTCTGGCTCAATGCAGGCCTTTAATTTCAACAAGCATCCATTGTTTTATATTTAACGTATTTGAAAGTTGTGAATTGTTATCCAGGTTTATAAAAACTAACAGGTGATAAGAGAACAATATTATCGAATCTTTCGCAAAATGTACCTATGATTGAGCGCACTAGCTAAACATATACATAGCCTCGGGAAAACTCTTGTTTGTGACGGTGTACATGGAAAATGTTGTAAATAACATAAGATAACTCGTATGTTAAACGAGTCGCCTGGCAGGTTATATCAGGTGAATGGTGGAAGGTGTTTGTTTGAATGACTTCCCAGCGCCTCTGTGTCTGATTCACATAGTGTGGCTTAGAGGCATCCCTGCATTCATGTAACTGAAGCGTCGAGGAAGTCCACACTTGCTTGGCTGCTGTCACCCAGATAGTGTTAATCATTCATCTAATTTCTTCAAGGTATATATGTGAGCGGAATAGAAGGAGACTAACACCTGCTGGGTTCCGCAGCAGCATGAGCCAAGGGCAAGGCTGCACTTCCATCTATGATCACTAGCACGCGTGATGATGATGATGTGTCATACAATGTATGATACACTGCTATCTCATGCATCTTAGCGGATCCTCAATAATGTGGCGAATGGTGGACCTGCTGACCTCTGCAGAAAGCAGCGGGCTTAGGTGACACAGTCACAGATAAGCCGAATTCTCTTGCGCCATGATTTGCAAGCATGTAAATCAAGCATTTTTATTATTAATACGTCTACCGCTGGCGGCGTGTATGCTGTGCGCGCGTACACATATAATCGCAAAGATCACCCGTCAACAGCTACGAGGCAAGTTGTGATGGCCGAAATGTTCAATCGTGAAGCTAATATTTTCGTCAAACGTACAGTTTATAAAAAAGATAGATTATCTTCTAATTTGTTACCAAAAAAGATCGCAGTATATTTAATTTATACGTGTGTACATTGGTCACAAGTGAGAACTTCAATGACTGCCTTGTTTGCTTTTCACTCGTGAACACAACACCTGCACTGTGACGCGTTCACCCGTGCAGTCTCGTGTCTTTTAAGCCTCGTGGACCTCTCTGTGCGCGTGTGATGTTCAGTATTAATTGTAATCAAAATAGTGCATTGTCATATCTTGTTCGCTTGCTGTGATTTTAAAACTATCCTTAGATCGTTTTATGTTATTGGTGAACGTGTGAATAAAGCGAGTTTAAAAGCTCACGTCACATCATCAAGGGCATCTCGATATAAAGGTCGGGTTAATAACATAACTATTTGAAAAGTTTGCAATATTATAGTAGCAATGTAGTTTCTCTCGGCCTTATTGAGGTTGGGTCTTCCAACCCAATTGTAAACACGAGTTAACGTGGGAGGAAAGTTACGCATACGAGGGAATAATCACTCGTGTTTTATTTCATTGAACATTTTGCCAAGATGTTTAATGTTATTAATAAACAATCCCTGCTAATGTAAGCCCTGTTTCTGATGTATGTTGTGTGGCAAGGGAGTGTGCCAGGATTATTCATCATGTAATGAGACGTTATGAAAAAAAATTCCGTGAGAGTTCATAACCTAGGATGTATGTAAAAAATGTATGTAAGTTGTATGCAAGTGTACATTTAGGTGAATGGATTGAATGAGGTGTACGATGAAATTAGAATTAATGACAGGTGGGCCAAATGAGACCAATACTGACAGGATCGGCAAGTCGCACCAGCGATGAACGCGGTTGGCTACGTACCGTGCGAAAGAAGTTCCACATACTCGCCATGCGGATGATGGTGCTCATGTCAGCAAGCTGCACCCTTCACCTCCTGTCCAGCGACACGCTTGGAAACAATTGAGATGTGTTTTTTTTCCCCCAGCTGTTTTGGCGTTATCTGAACAGTTGCAAGATCAAACTGATAATCGGTAGAGTAATCAATTATTGAAGTAATTAACAACTCAACTATCAACTTTTAGCTTTTTTTCAGAAGCGACCTGACGACAAATGATAGCTCAACGAAGTGGCTTATCATGTGGACATTTATAGCAGCCAAATACTGCAAACGCATGTGTCTAAATGTGGAGGGAAGCACCAGAGGACCTGGAGAAAAATCCCAACGACAACGGGGAGAACACGCATACTCCAAATATACAACGGGCGTCTGGGTCGGGATCGAACCCGTGTGCTCCTGTATACCTAGCGAAGTATTTCACATCTCGCCACCGTGTGGTAAAGACATTGAACGACTCCGGGCAAACCCATGCAATAACAGGAAGATATCAAAGCTGCACATAGATGGGTTCAATAACCCACTTGCTGCGTTGCTACCTGTGGAGTCTGTGACATGGGTGTAATCCACCAACAACTGCCTCTAAAGCCATAAGCTACCCCTTGTGCCACCACACGCAGACCAACAGCCCCTAGCCATGGTAGACATTCACGTGTGTGTGGGGAGCGGTAGTGTAGCGATTATCTCACTGCGATGATTGATACACGGTTCAAATAATCGGTGTGCAGTGTGTAGTTAACATCGACACTGGGGAAACAAAGGCGGCCGGGCGTGGTTCTGGCCACCCCACCCCCTCGTGTGTCACAGCACCGGCCTTCATAAGGTGCTCACGAACATCACTTGCCCCAACAGTCTGTTAAGGCTATACGGGGGATCTCTGTCTTTGCCATACGGAGGACCTTAAGAGGTGGACGCACGAACGTGTCACAGCAAATGAGGGACCGCTGTCTGTGTCATGAGTCCTTGTATGTTTCAGTTTCATGTATAGTGAGGGAAAAAAGTATTTGATCCCCTGCTGATTTTGTACGTTTGCCCACTGACAAAGAAATGATCAGTCTATAATTTTAATGGTAGGTGTATTTGAATAGTGAGAGACAGAATAGCAACAACAAAATCCAGAAAAACGCATGTCAAAAATGTTATGAATTGATTTGCATTTTAAGGAGGGAAATAAGTATTTGACCCCTCTGCAAAACATGACTTAGTACTTGGTGGCAAAACCCTTGTTGGCAATCACAGAGGTCAGACGTTTCTTGTAGTTGGCCACCAGGTTTGCACACATCTCAGGAGGGATTTTGTCCCACTCCTCTTTGCAAATTTTCTCCAAGTCATTAAGGTTTCGAGGCTGATGTTTGGCAACTCGAACCTTCAGCTCCCTCCACAGATTTTCTATGGGATTAAGGTCTGGAGACTGGCTAGGCCACTCAAGGGACCTTAATGTGCTTCTTCTTGAGCCACTCCTTTGTTGCCTTGGCCGTGTGTTTTGGGTCATTGTCATGCTGGAATACCCATCCACGACCCATTTTCAATGCCCTGGCTGAGGGAAGGAGGTTCTCACCCAAGATGTGACGGTACATGGCCCCGTCCATCGTCCCTTTGATGCGGTGAAGTTGTCCTGTCCCCTTAGCAGAAAAACACCCCCAAAGCATAATGTTTCCACCTCCATGTTTGACGGTGGAGATGGTGTTCTTGGGGTCATAGGCAGCATTCCTCCTCCAAACACGGCGAGTTGAGTTGATGCCAAAGAGCGCCATTTTGGTCTCATCTGACCACAACACTTTCACCCAGTTGTCCTCTGAATCATTCAGATGTTCATTGGCAAACTTCCAACGGGCATGTATATGTGCTTTCTTGAGCAGGGGGACCTTGCGGGCGCTGTAGGATTTCAGTCCTTCACGGTGTAGTGTGTTACCAACTGTTTTCTTGGTGACTATGGTCCCAGCTGCCTTGAGATCATTGACAAGATCCTCCCGTGTAGTTCTGGACTGATTCCTCACCGTTCTCATGATCATTGCAACTCCACGAGGTGAGATCTTGCATGGATCCCCAGGCCGAGGGAGATTGTTTCTTCCATTTGTGAATAATCGCACCAACTGTTGTCACCTTCTTACCAAGCTGCTTGGCGATGGTCTTGTAGCCCATTCGAGCCTTGTGTAGGTCTATAATCTTGTCCCTGACATCCTTGGAGAGCTCTTTGGTCTTGGCCATGGTGGAGAGTTTGAAATCTGATTGATTGATTGATTGCGTCTGTGAACAGGTGTCTTTTATACAGGTAACGAGCTGAGATTAGGAGCACTCCCTTTAAGAGTGTGCTCCTAATCTCAGCTCGTTACCTGTATAAAAGACACCTGGGAGCCAGACATCTTTCTGATTGAGAGGGGGTCAAATACTTTTTTCCCTCATTAAAATGCAAATCAATTTATAACATTTTTGACATGCGTTTTTCTGGATGTTGTTGTTGTCATTCTGTCTCTCACTGTTTAAATAAACTTACCATTAAAATTATAGACTGAGAATTTCTTTGTCAGTGGGCAAACGTACAAAATCAGCAGGGGATCAAATACTTTTTTCCCTCACTGTATGAGGTATAACCCTGTGAGCCATGCGGCTCTTGACTCGGGTGCAACCGCAACAAAACAAAAACATGAACAAGAAACATCTTAAAGTGACTACACGCAACAGAAAAAAAATCCTGGAAAAAACAGCAAAAGTCTTCCAGAAAAAACACCGAATTTCAACGCTGTGTGCAAAAATCCCAGTGGGATGCAAGTCAAACAATATCAACCATAAGACAATGTAGATTAAAGTTATCAGGCCAAGTCTGTCCCATAACAAACAAACATGGCCAGACCAAACCGTCCTCAAAATCACCAAAATAAAGCCACAAAAACAATGTGTAACAGTGATCATAGGAACTGTGATTCACAGTTCAGAGTGGGTGTGCGCATGTGTAATGTGTGTGTGCGTCTCGCGTGTTATGTTGTGTGCGCGCTTACGCCACAAATGCACGTTTTTGCTACAGCAATTACAACTTAAAGAGGCCGGTGAATTAAACCGTTGGTATTGTGCAACTGTCCGTGCTCCCAGGAAACTACTCCCCTATCTTTCGATTTGAAGCTTTCGTGACTGCGGGGATTCATATTCTTGGTTCTTTCGGTGAAGTCACGTAGAAGGGAATTAATAAAACAATAAAAAATAAACATAATCAAATAAAATTCTCACGACGTTTCGGCCACAACGCAAGCAGCCGTCCTCAGTTGAAGAAACAGAGTTGTCGGAAAGACAGCGTCCTAATGGACACTGCTCAGCTTGGCAGCGTATTTTAAGCTGGGTGGCAGGAGGAGAGCGCCTTTTTTATTTTATTATTTCCCTTCTACGTGACTTTACCGAAAGAACCAAGAATACTCCCCTATCGTGTCGGAGTAAAACTGTCCGTGTCAAAGTGGTGGCCCCTTGGTGTTATGTTGACTTGTTCCACTTGTTATGTCGGGCAACGCCGGCAAGCTGCAACCCCATCCATGCCTGCAGCTCGCTCGCAAGATCAATTCCCACACACGTGGGATGATGACCATGACGTGAGGCGTAGGTTTTTTTTTCTTCCATGGATTTGAGGACATGGAAGCGTGCATGCCTCATTATTTGGCGAGATTATTACCTTGGCCTAATCCAAACATTAATTATAAACCACGACATGATATGTATGATTTATGTGTATAAGATGTCCAATGCAATATTAATTTACTGTATATTAAGATACTTTGGAAGAGGAGGGGACATTTGAATTATGGAAGCAGTGTGGGAGAGTTTTTAGGTGGCGAGATGTTAATTACCTCGCCTTGTGTGCAGGAGGTCGTTGGTTCGATCCCAATCCCGACCCTGACGATGCCTGTATTTTTTTGCGTTTCCGTCTCTCTGTCTCCCCGTGGTCGCGTGGGGTTTTCTCCGGGTCCTCCGGGGGTTTCCCTCCACATTTATAATCAACATTTCGCGTTTCGAGGTATTTTGCCATTTCAGATACCTCTTGGGTTGCACTGATTGTCAATTGTATTTGCATGTAGCTGTGTTCATGAAATCATCTTGGAGCCATGGTCAAAGGATGGTGATGTCCACATCTTGTACACGGCTTATACTCCACATTTAGAATCAACAGGTGTTTTCCACGAAAAAAACACGTTGTTTGCCGCCGGATCACTTCAGAAAAAAAGCGATTTAGCGCATTGGGCCTTACCTGGTAAATAAAACAAAAGTTTGTAGGTTATTTGGCAAATGGAAAAAGTCTGTGCAATTGCAAGCAGGGGGAGAGGGGGTGTGCAGACTAAACGAAGTTCAGGCAGAGTGACCGATCAGTCACGGACAGAGGGGAGCAGCAGCAGGCTTTGCAGTTTGCACTTGAGGGGCGGGAGTCACGTGCAGCATGGAGAGGTGATGTTGACCATTTGTGAGT